GTCCAGAGCCCGGCTCCGGGGCCCGCAGTGGCCGCCGCGGAGTCAGGCTGACTCGAGAGAGCGCCCGGGCGCAGAGGGGTTAACGGGCCGCCGGGGCCGCGCAGAGCAGGTACAGACCCTCCCTGGGACCCCCCCGGCCCCGGCGCCCTCCCTCCCGGGTCCCGCTAGGCCACCCGCCCCGCGCGCCCGCGCCGCCCCCGCTCCCTGCGCCCCAGGTAGCGCCATAGCCGCGACCCCGGCCCCAGCTTGTATAGCCTCGGAAGACCTTCTAGTCCCTGGGGTCGAATTCCTGGGGAGGGGGCTCTGATCCCGTGGAACTGTCCCTGTTACCTGGGCGGAGAATCGGCCAAAATTCCTACCAAGTCACATAGTAAAGTTGGAAAACATACTCAGGACCTCCCCGCACGCGCCTGGCGCCTCCTGCCCTCCCCTCGAGGATGTGTGTCCCGCCACCCCAGTCCCTCCAAGAGTTGGGGGACAGGGGCGCTGAGAAGGATACAGGTGGGTACCGTGATCCAGCTCAGCTGATGAGTAGAAGGAAGGACACCTGTTGGGCTGGTCCTCCAGGACCCAGGAGTGGAGGGCACAGTGAGGATCAAGGAGTCCTACCCAAGATAGGGACTCTCCCCACCAGCCAGCACTGAAACATGTCCTCCAGCCCTCGCCTCAGCAAAGCCATCTATTTCCCAGAGGTGGGTCCCTCTGGGGGTGAAAGGGTTAGCCCTGCCCGTGTCTCTTCTCCTTGCTCTTCACTGGCCAGTGTGGAGGTGTGGCCAGGAGGAGCCCAGGTTTGTACAGACCAGTGTCCAGCCTGGCACTGGTGACCACTTCTGACCTCTCCTTTCCTCACCCTGGGCAGTGACAGACACCAGATGAGAGACATGAAAAGGGGTGAAAAGCACAAATGTGTCCTGTTTCCACCGTGGAGGGGGTGTCTGCCCCCTGCCTAGCTGTGCAGGGGGGCTGGGGTAGGACTTTTCCAGAGAGAGAGCCAGGCCTGGCCCGGGCCCCAGGAGCTCACGTCACCCCCACCCCCCACCCCTCACTTCTCCTGGGAACTGCCAAAGCCAAGCCCAGCTCAGGACAGGATTATGTGTACTGGGTAGACCCATGAAGAGACAGCAAGATACAGACCTGGGGAAGCAGAGAGGGCGTGGAGAGGGGACCCCGAATCCGAAAAGGGGCAGACGGTGATCACCACCCCATCTCTCCTTCCCTTCAACCTCAAATAATTGAGCCAGGCAGAGAGTGGAAGGTTTGGGTGGAACGTTGGCCCTTCTCTCGAGCCCCTACTCACCCTCCCATCAGGGCGGAGTTGCTGACCTCAGTGGTCAGCTCAGCCAGGGGCAGGCATAGCCATCAGCAACCCCCTCCCCAACCCCAAGCAGCTCGGGTGACCCTGTGGGTCAGGTTCAACCACTGCACTGCGATCCTGCCCTGAAATTCCCAAGTCCTGGGGTCTCAGGGAGGGGAGTGGGGCCGAGAGTAGCTCTCCCCAAGCACATTCCTGCGCTTCCTCTGTCATTTTCCAGCCCCTGGGCTGGCCCACCTCGGCACTGGCTCCCTGGACTCCTTTCCCGGGTGCCTTTCAGATCCAACAGAAACATTTTGTTTTTCCTGGAAAGCAGAACTAAGAGTGGGATGAAGAGTGGGAGTGGGAAAGGCTGGTATTGAGCAGGAAGGGCTGGGGGGTCAGGGTAAGCATCGGGAGAGTCAGGCTTTGAGACCAGGGGAGGGCTCCGAGCGCCACTTTTCTGACTGATCAACACTAGATTTCGGGATGGGCTTCTGGGCTCTTCGGAATGATAGGCTTGTGGTTGGGGAGCGATGGCAGCTCTAGCTGCATCTCTCCTTCCCAGGTACCCCCGGTCCATCACAGTGGCGCCTGAAAGCAGCCCTCGTTGAACCAAGGCTGGACGCTGGCCCCTAAAGGGAGGTTAAATGGCTAGTGGGAAAATCACCCGCTTCTCCAGAGATTAAGCATCAGCCCATTTAGTTTATCCCTTGGCTAAAAAGTGATGCAGGGAGACAGATGCCTGAGCTTTCCAGAGGAGCTTAGCTAAGGGGAGAAAAGGCTGAGAGGCAGGTAGGCAACAGAAGGCCCAAGGGGTTCTTGTCTGCTCCTCGGGGGACAGTGGGCAAATCCTCACCGGAGCCTCCCTCTTCCTCCTCGCAGGACCTCTGGGAGGGTGGGAGTGGGGGTCAGATGAAAACCATCCTAAGCAAGGTGCCTGTGCCCGAGCTGGCCTACCTGGGTTAGGAAGGCGCTGACGCGTCCCTCCAGGGCCAAGGGGAGGGGACTGAGCTTGAGACCCCCCACCCTCTGGCCTCAGCAGCTGGACAAGGGCAGCGTCCCTGTCACTCTCACCCTTAGGATCATAAAGGGTGAGCCGGGCTTCACTTCACCCCTCCATCCTCACTCCCGTGTCCTTCGAGGAGCCACCCCTCCCAACCCCCAGCTTTCTGGAGACCAGAGGTAACCAGCAGGCTTCTGTCCCTGCAGAGCGCACCCCCTCCACGTCCAGATGCCGGAGTAGTGTGTTGACTTCTGGTCTCCTGCTCCCTTGCCTCGGAGCAACCAAGGAGGAGCGATGGAGAAGTTGGTGGACAGGTAAGAGTGGGCTGCCAGGGTTGAGGGAACGGCTCTGACCCTGGACGCGAGGGGAGGCGATGGCTGGGAGGGGCTGGGGGAAGTGATGAGTAACTTCTGCTTCCTGAGAAGTTGGCATCAGGATGTGGGGAGCCCGCTGGGGGTGAGGGGCAGTGTTGTAACGCCAGCTCCGGCTCCTGGCTGATGGCCGACGTCCCCACTCTGCCCTTCGTTTGCAGGCCCCGGTTGTGTCTGATGCTGCTTCTGTCCCTCCCTCCGCTCTGCCTGGATCAGGAGGTTAGCCGGGGACCTGAGGCGGTGATCCTGTCATCTCCCCTGACCTCCCATCCCACTTCTCCAGGCCATGCCTCCATTTTCCACAGCCTCTGATGAGCCCCAGCCCCTTTCTCTCACACTTGGCCGTCCCCAGCCCCCCCTTCTCCCCAACTCCCTAACTCCTTGCCAGATAACATCAAGTCCCTCCTGTGCTACTGAACGTGCCCCTGAGCTGGTAACAGCCTCCCTGAGCCTCGAACATTAGACTACAGCCTCTGTATGGCCCCCTCTAAAACCATTCTAATTTTGTCTGACCTTTTTGTCTACATAGGTGTTGTCTGGACACGCTCTTCAGACACCTCCTGAGGAGGGCCAGGGCCCTGAGGGCGTCTGGGGTCCTTGGGACCAGTGGGCCTCTTGCTCCCAGCCCTGTGGGGTGGGGGTGCAGCGCAGGACCCGGACGTGTCAGCTCCCTACAGCTCAGCTCCACCAGGGCCGACCCCTACCACCCCGGCCCCCAAGACACCCAGAAACGCTGCTCCCCCGGGGTCAGGGCCCCAGACCCCAGACTTCCCGAGAAGCCCTCCCCCTGTACAGGCCACAGCCCCGGGGAAGAGGTGGCCCCCTTCGAGGTTCTGCTTCCGCATTAGGGAAGGAGGAGGCCCAGGAGAACCAAGGAGCCAGGAGGTGAGGGCTGGGGCTTTGAGGGAGGGCGCGGGCCTTGAGCAAGGGACTGGGCTTGGGAGAAATGAAAGGGGAGACGGGACACACGGTTTAGGGAGGCTTATCTCTGGTACTAGGAAGTAGACTGGAGAGGCAGGGTCAGAGACGACCAGAGCTGTGAACCCATGTCTGCAACACCTTCTCAGGTCCCGGGTGCGAGACCCCATCAAGCCAGGAATGTTTGGTTATGGAAGAGTGCCCTTTGCTTTGCCACTCCATCGGAACCGCAGGCACCCAGGGAGATGGCCCAGATCTGAGCTGTCCCGGAGCTCAGCGCTTCCATCCCTGACTCCAGGAGCAGAGCCATCCTCTGCAAAGCACACCCCTCAAACTCAGTTCCTTCCTACAGAACTGTCTGCCCCCACTCTGTCCCTCCCAGCTGAAACCCCAGGCCCCGAAGCGGCTCAGACAGAGGTGCCCTTTAGAATCGGGCCTGCCCCCACAGGGCCCCACTCCGGAGCCCAGGCCTCTGGCACAGATCCCCCCTTTCCCACCCCCTCCCCAGGAGAAAGTGGCTCCTTTCGAATGTCCCCCAAGCCAAGAATGTCAAGTTCCCAGGGTTGGGCCAGTCCCTGGGTGGCAGAGAGACACCCTAATCCTCTCCTTTCTGTCCCTCGGGGCCGGGGCCGAGGCCAGCAGAGCCCGGAGCCCTGGAGGCCTGGGGGGAACCTTCACCGGTCCCTCTCAGAGTCGGCCCCTCGCCACCCAGATGGCTGGTTGCCTCTGCTGAGGGCTGGCCCCCACTCCAGCTCCCAGTGGAGCCTGTTTGCTCCCAGTAGCCCCGTCCCAAAGTGTTCTGGGGAGAGTGAGCAGCTGAGAGCCTGCAGCCAAGCGGTGAGTTCTTCCTGGGACCCCTTCCCCTTCCATTTCTGCTTCCCTGACCCTGAGTCTGGGTCCTCAGCTTGTCAGATCTGCACCTGAGGGAGAGGGGCCTTGGCATTTGACCTCTTCAGGGTAGGGGCCTTGGCGGTCTTCCAGAGACCTGACTTTCTCCCTACTCCCCAAATCCAGCCCTGACCCACACCCCCATTTTCCTCCCCAGCTTTGACTCCTCTGTATCCCCCCACCTCAGCCCTGCCCCCCTGAGCAGCCAGACCCCCGGGCCCTGCAGTGTGCAGCCTTTGACCCCCAGGAGTTCATGGGCCAGTTGTACCAGTGGGAACCCTTCACAGAAGGTGAGGTTTCTAGCCAACCCCCTGGACAGGGAGGCTTAAGACCGGGGGATGATGGGGTGGGAGACAGCAACCCCTCTGTTTCTCCTCTGTAGGCCCTTGTGTTTCTCCTCTGTGTCGGATTCCTTTCTTTTTCTCCAGGGCTGGAGTGAAGAGACAGCACAGGCCCAGGAAGGGCAGGGGGGTTCAGACAGGGTCAGATGGTCGTGGATGGTCAGCAGAGGGGTCGGGCTGGGGGAGGGTGTGTCCAGACGTGCCCTTGGCTGGCTTCCTCTGGGAAGAGGCCCGTCCCGGATGTGGAGTAGACATGGCATGAGAGGGGCACAGTGGAGAGATCCTGCCCAGTGGTGACAGCGGGGGTGGGGGGAGTGCGCCATGGGTCCTGGGTGGCTCCCAAGTTACCACCCACTTGATTTTCGGCCTCTGTCAACGTGCCACCAAGACGGCCATTCATGAGCTCTGAACTCACATAATCAAAGGTTTCTGGCATCTTCTCTGTCAAGAGTTCACAACCCTGGTCTCAGCGACCTCAACTGACCTGACCCAACTCCTGTGTGACCCTCAAACCCCCCTCTGACAGTACAGAATTGTCTTGTTCCCTTCATCCACAGTGGCCGAGGCAACCCTCAAGACGCCGCATAGCTCACACAGGCCAAGCTCCTGCCAGGGTCCTGGGGCCTTTCCCAGTTCACCTCCCACCAGGGAGGTTACCTCTCTCCCTGAGCTAACCACTCTCCTACCCTGTCTCTTAGTTCAGGGCTCCCAACGCTGTGAACTGAATTGTCGTCCCCGTGGCTTCCGGTTCTATGTCCGTCACACTGAAAAGGTCCAGGATGGGACTCTGTGTCAGCCGGGAGCCCTAGACATCTGTGTGGCTGGACGCTGCCTGGTGAGGGAGGATGGGGCGCGCGCGCGCACGCACACACACACACACACACACACACACACACACACACACACACACGGCCTACTCGTCCATCATTACAACAAAACACCAGAATGAGATCGCAAAGAGGGACATTCTCACCTGCCAAGCTGAGCTGAGGCAGGGCCAGAGGTGAACTGCAAGAAGGCATATCCAGGCTTCCCTGAGGCCGGCTGGGGGTGGGGGTGGGGCTGACAGAGAAACACATTCTCACTTGTGGTGCAAAATCAAGACACCCCATGAGCTGAAGGGTCCCAAGAGGACCGGGCTGGGGTGTGTGTGAGGTGGTGTCTGGCTTCGAGCAGCCCCTGCCTCACCCCTCTTTTTCCCCAGAGCCCTGGCTGTGATGGGATTCTTGGCTCTGGCAGGCGTCCAGATGGCTGTGGAGTCTGTGGGGGTGATGGTTCTACCTGCCGCCTCGTCTCGGGGAACCTCACCGACCGCGGGGGCCCCCTGGGCTATCAGAAGATTCTGTGGATTCCCGCAGGAGCCTCCCGGCTCCAGATCGCCCAGCTCCGGCCCAGCTCCAACTACCTTGGTGAGCTCCCCAAGCTCCCTGGGTTCCTCCAGTCTCGGGGCTCCGCTCCATTCCTGGTCTCTTGGTTCTGCCCTCCACACCTCCATGCAGCACAGCAAACAAGCCCAGAGGAGGGAAGGTGGAAGCGAGGGAGCGTGGGGTACCTGGGGCTCTGAGCCCCTAAGGACGGTGACTCACCTGCCTGCCCTGATCTCTCCCCTCCAGCACTTCGAGGCCCTGGGGGTCGGTCCATCATCAATGGAAACTGGGCTGTGGATCCGCCTGGGTCCTACCCGGCCGGGGGGACTGTCTTCCGGTACAACCGCCCTCCCCGAGAGGAGGGCACGGGGGAGAGTCTGTCAGCCGAGGGCCCCACGACCCAGCCGGTGGATGTCTATGTGAGCTAGGGGCCTGGAGAAGTGGGGCTGCCGGGGAGGGGGGCCCTTCCCTCTGAGGGCAAAGAGGGGGGATGCCTCTTGCCACCCCAAACATCCGTTACTTCCTCTTTTTCTCCCCAGATGATCTTTCAGGAGGAAAACCCAGGTGTTTCTTATCAGTATGTCATCTCTTCCCCTCCTGCAAACGTGGAGAACCTGACCCCAGAGCCCGGTATCCCGCACCTCCAGCCTGGTAAGACTCTGACCCCGAGACCTTGAAGGAGGGGGTGAGGATGAAAGGGGGACTCCGAGGCCGCAGGGTGCATCTGACCTGTCTACTCGACTTCCCCTGCACAGAGATTTTGAGCATAGAGCCCGCACCTGCTTCAGTGCCTCGCCCCGCCCGGACTCCGGGCACCCTCCAGCGTCAGGTGCGAATCCCCCAGGTGCCCGCCCCACCCCACCCCAGGACACCCCTGGGGTCTCCAACCGGATTCTGGAAGCGAGTGGGACACTCCGAATGCTCGGCATCCTGTGGAACAGGTGACACGTCATACACCAGCCTGTATTCCTGGCACCCTCAGCCCACATCCCCAACGTGACACTTGTGATCCCAGGCCCTGGATCATGTGTCCACACCTCGACCCTGTGCCTGGGACCCCACTGACACTGGACTCGGAGTCATCCCACCCCCCCTGGCTTCCCTCTCATCCCCTTCAGGTGTTTGGCACCCCATCTTCCTCTGCGTTTCTCGTGAGTCAGGAGAGGAACTGGATGAACGCAGTTGTGCCATCGGCGCCAGGCCCCCAGCCTCCCCGGAAGCCTGCCACGGCCCCCCGTGTCCCCCATAGTGAGTATGACCCACAGGGAGGGCTAGGGTCCCAGGGACACACAATTGCTCTGGGCAAACACCCTCGCTGCCCAGAGGACCTTACCTGGATGTTGCGCTCAACACAAGACCTCCAGGCTGAGAGAGAGTGAGGATTAGAAAGGTTGACATTCCACAGCCAGAAAACCCCGGCAGCCTGAGCCCCACCAGGGAGCCCAGGCTCCAGATGCACAGTGTGCCCACTCTCCTCTGAGGGGTCCCAGCCCCCAGGCTGGTCCTCTGTCCGCCCATGGCAGCCCACACATCTATTTTTGCCATCTGTGTCACTATCTCGTCCCCACCCTGCCCATGCCTGCAGCTGGGAGACCGGCGAGTGGACGTCCTGCAGCCGCTCCTGTGGCCCTGGGACCCAGCACCGCCAGCTCCGCTGCCGGCAAGAGTTTGGGGGGGGTGGCTCATCCGTGCCTCTGGAGCGCTGTGGACACTTGCCCCGGCCCAACATCACCCAGCCCTGCCAGTTGCGCCTCTGTGGCCATTGGGAGGTTCGTTCCCCCTGGAGCCAGGTAAGTGGGACCTGACAGGCCGGTTCTCGGAGCAGGGGTCCTAGGGAGGTGGGCCCCAGGGAGCTGGAGCTGTGGTTTTCCAACTTCTGTGTAATCGGCAGAAAGATCTCATATGGAGTCCCAATCTGCAAGTCAGATAAGAGACTGAGCCAGGGTTGGGGCCCACCCAGAGTCCCATGCTCACCCCACAAAGCCATGTAACCGCTGAGCCAGGGATCACAGGCAGACCCTGCTTCAAAAGCCACAGCGCTGGCGGCAGGTGAGGAAGCCTGGGCCCAGCTCCGCGGACCCCTCACCCCACAGTGTTCTGTGCGGTGTGGGCGCGGCCAGAGGACTCGGCACGTTCGCTGTGTGGGAAACGACGGAGATGAAGTGAGCGAGCGGGAGTGTGCGTCAGGCCCCCCGCGGCCCCCCAGCAGAGAGGCCTGTGACATGGGGCCCTGTACCACGGCCTGGTTCCACAGCGACTGGAGCTCCAAGGTGAGCCCCACTCCCTGGACACCCTAGCAGAGGCTTTCCAACACCGTTCAATAAACATTCCCTGAGCAAGCACCTACCATGTGCTAGACGCTGCCGAGGCTGGAAACGTGGAGATAAGTGAGAAAAACTGCTAGGGTCCTGGACCCCCACAAAGGTTCCCTTTATCTGGCTGGTACTCCTGGGACATTCCCTAACTCCCAGGACAGTCAGTCTTCAGCCCCCAACTGGTCGCCTGTTTGTCACCAGCAGCCTCCCTTCACACAGCGCCCCCTCTGCTCTGCTTCCCAACAGTGTTCAGCTGAGTGTGGGACGGGAATCCAGCGACGTTCCGTGGTCTGCCTGGGGAGTGGAGCGGTCCATGGGGCGGGCCGGGAGGAAGCAGCAGTAGGAACCAGTGAGCAGAGCTGTGCCCCAGGAAGCCGCCCCTCCGACATGCGCGCCTGCAGCTTGGGGCCCTGTGAGATGACATGGTGCTGGTACACGGGGCCCTGGGCCGAGGTGAGCGGCGAGCTTGGGAGGGGGTGCCTGCCAGCGGAGGCCCTGTGGGCAGGTGGGAGCGATCCCTGCTCCCTCTTCCCCTCGTGCACCCACGCTTCCTCTCCATCAGTGCTCCTCAGACTGCGGCCCTGGCACACAGCGGAGAGACATCATCTGTGTGTCCAAACTGGGGACTGAGTTCAACGTGACTTCTCCTAGCAACTGTTCCCACCTGCCCAGGCCGCCTGCCCTGCAGCCCTGTCAGGGGCAGGACTGCCAGGACCGATGGTTTTCTACGCCCTGGAGTCCGGTGAGTGCCTGGCTCCCTGGCCCTGCTGGAGCATGGACTCCAGGGAGGGGCAGGCTCCTGTCACTGTATCCCCCTCGGTGCCCCAGGACAAGGCCAGCTGCAGTTTAACATTGGCCCACTTCCTATACCTGGAGGGCAGGTGGGCCCTCTCCACGTGGGATGTCATAATGCTCCAGGACGGTCCCCCTCACACACCCCTTTCAGAGGAGGAGGCACCTGGGGTTCAGGAGGCGCCTGGGGCACAGACAGCAAAGGTCTGATTTGATAGCGGGGGTCTCCCCAGTGTTCTCGCTCCTGCCAGGGCGGCGTGCAGACAAGGGAAGTCCAGTGCCTGACCGCCAACCAGACCCTCAGTGTCCGATGCCCCCTTCACCTGCGGCCCTCCAGGAAACGACCCTGTAACAGCCAACCCTGCAGCCAGCGTCCTGGTAAAGAGCCTCCTCTCCACAATTCCCGGTAGAGGGGACTTAGCTGAAGTGTGGGTGGAGATGAGAAAGGACCAGCGCGGGTGGGCAGCACTCCTCCGGAGGATAAATCTTGGTGACCCTCGTGCCCACCGGCCTCTGTCTCCAGATGATCAATGCAAGGACAGCTCTCCACATTGCCCCCTGGTGGTACAAGCCCGGCTCTGCGTCTATCCCTACTACACAGCCACCTGTTGCCGCTCTTGCGCCCACGCCCTGGAGCGGTCCCCCGCGAAGCCCGCCTGAAATGGGTCCAGGTGACCCTCTCCTCGTGGTTTCTCGTGCCACCATAAGTCACCCATCAATCTTCCCTCTCTGTACCCTCTGGCTCTCTAACCTGTCCTCGTCTCACCAGGGGTGTCCCCCAGGGTGGTTGACGGTGGCAAAATGACTGACAGTGACTATCAAGACGTGTGGGTGGGTCTGTGTGGTGGTGTGATGGTGTGTGGCGGTGTGATGGTGTGTGTGCACATGTGCCCCTAATGTGTACCCGAGCCTGCATGGATGTGTGTGCCACGTCTCACAAAGAAATCAGACTGAGGAGGAAGGGGGAGGGGACGATGCCTGTTTCTGAGACTTTTCTAGGCTGAGAGGAAAGCAAGTTTGCAGCTCCTTAGTAACCTGAGCTGCTTAGTGACCGCCCCCCGCCCCCCCCCATCAATATCAACTTTGTGTCCTAAAAACCTCATTTCTGTGATCAGGCCTCACATCTTCGAAACCACCCTTTTGTCCTCAGATCCCTCCTTCCCCTTACAGTCTCTCTATCCCTACCTCTCATAATTACCTAGCTAAGGCTGGAGGTCGGCCATTGCCAGCCCTGCCTTACCCCAGGGAGAGAGACGACCTCCCCAGAATAAGGACCAGCTGGACAGAATATGGAGAGAGAAAGGTTAGAACAAGGCAACCTAGCCCCTGCTCCTGCTCCCCACCTCCTGAAATGGTTCCCACCCCAGAACTAATTTATTTTTTATTAAAGATGATTATGACAAATGAGAAACAGGCTCTTTGTTGTCCTCGTGAGAACCCAGCCATACGGGCCGCCTAAGCAAGCAGTGTGTGGTCAGAATGAAGGGTGGGAAGGGGAGCACCACTCAAGACCCAGGCCGAGCGAGTCGAGTCGGGGCGGAGAAAGCCTAGTAAGTGAGCCCCAATCAGCCGACATGGAAGGGAGAGGATCTGGCCGCTGTACGGCCTGCAGGTTGGGTATTGACCACTAGAGGTCACCACTTCTTGCAGTTTAGGTATGGAGTTGGGAGCTTGGGTCTAGAGCGGAGGGAAAACTTCCTGGTTCTATCTATGGTGGGTTTCTGGGTAGGCTGCGTCTTTCTGTCAAGTCTCTTGGAATCTAACAGCACTTCTTACAGCTTGGGGCCGAGCTGAATGGCAGCTGGCTTTTCAGGGGTCTTTTTTCCTGCTCCCTTTCTTTGGCCCTGCCTTCCTGCCTCCCCCATTCTTTCTGCTATTACCCATTTCCCTACTAAGCTGTTGGGTTACGGCTTCTCAGAGGGTGGGTGGGAAGGGAAGTGGTTTCCGCCCCTCCCCACAGCAGAACCGGCTGGAGGAGAAGCCTGGACTGGCTCTAGGAGACTTGGGCGGAGTCAAGGCAGTACTGGATGTCCTGCCAAAGCATTCTTCAGAGACGTCTCACCCTCGGCTCCGCCCTCCCGCCTCCCTCACCCATTTCGTCTCTCAAGGTAAATAGCTTGCTGGAGGTGGTGCAAGAGTGGGCAACCTCGTCTCCTAACAGCCTCTCCCTGACCCTGACCACTTTGAGGGCCAGTCCAGACCCCACCTCTGGACGCTAGACTTCTCAGGGGTCCCTGTGCCTAGGCTAGGGTCCGAGCAACAGAATCAGACTCCTGTCCCCATTGGAAGCGTCCCCACCCCCGCCCTCTCTGCACCTCCACACGTCTGGCCCAGGAAGACCATTAATAAAGGCCTGCAGAAACAGTTGGACTCCGTGACTGCCGTTTCCTGAGCACACCCCGTCCCTGTGAAGGACTAGGACTGGCATACTCTGGCAGCTCCCTCGGGTCATACTGTGGCCTTGGGACTCAGGCTCTCCCTGGGCAGGAAGTGGCCGAGAAGGAAGACCTTGGACTACACCTTGAGAGTGGGTGAGGAAGGAGGCAAAAGGCAATGGAAAGAATGAAAAATGAAACTGACTTTAGCCCAGGGCAAGGAGGGAGTGAGGTAAGGGGGCAAGAAAACCCCAGTCTGCCTCAGTACCTCTGCTCAGCCTAAACAGGAACACTCAAGAGACGCGTTCCCCTGTCTGGTGAGCATATAAGGGGGTCAAAGATGTGGGGGACCAGGGAAGAGAGACCTGAGCCAGCCCAACAGATACTGAGGGCTGAAGGCCAAGTCCTTAGACGAGGGAGGGGTGGTGGTAAATAGCGGGGGCCCTCCCAGCGATTCCTGGAAGCTTCTGAGTTGGGCGGTGCCCAGCTCAGCTGACTTCCCCAAAGCTTCCCCTCCCTCTTCGGGCCTCTCAAGGCTGTTGCTGGGCAGGTTTAGAGTTTGAGCCTGAGGACCAATCACAGCCCCTCTTAGGGCTCCCCCAGCTGCGGCAGTCTTTCTGATAGCCACTGAGCTCCCTCGGGGCCTCCAGTCCCTGACTTCTCAGGATGTGGGCTTTCATCTGGGGGTTGGCCCCCTCCCCCCCTCTCATTTTCAAGTTAGGATTAGTGCAGCCCCTAAGGATTCTTTCCTCTGGTCACAGAGGTCAGTATGGGGTCAGTGTGTAAATTTTCTAGAAGGGGAACCCGACCCCAAGCAACCCCTTTTCCTGGCCCCTTAGAGTGGGGAAGTGTGGCCAAACACCTCGTTGTTGACCTCTGAAGCCCTCTGGAGGGACTTGGGAGGAAGCTGCAAGTCAAGGCCGGAGAGGTATGGTGGAGGGGTCCTGAGGTCTGGTGCCCTGAGAAGCCTTTTTTCAGGAAGGACTGAGGAAGTGCACCCCTGAGAACTGAGGTGGGGGTGAGGCGGTGAGAGGAGCAATCTCTATCTGCCCATGAAGCGTGCAGGTCAGCAAATTGCTCAGGGCTCCTCCTCATTTCCGGGTGTTCGCCAGGGGCCTGTGGATCTGGCAGTGAACTTAGGGGTGAACTTGTGAGGTCTTAGTTCAGCTGGGTCAGAATTCTTCCCCCTCCCCCTCCCAGCTTCTCCAGGATAATTACTCGACCAATTAAGCTGCAGCCTTCAGACTAAATTTAGCTCCTAGACTTCCCCACCCTCCCTGGGCCTCCCTGTGAGCAGGTGCTCACAGCTGCAGGGCTGGGTCTGTGGAGACGGTCACTGTCACTGTCGCCAGCATTGTCCAGATTCAGCCCTTCTGGTGACTAGGAGTGGGGCAGAGCCCCGGAACTCGGTTGCTGGCCCAGGGCTTGAGTGTCTCAACCTTAAGCACCTCTGTCAAGAGCTCTTTGGAGGAGAGCTATGCTTGGAGGACCTAGGCAGACCATGAGGGAGGGAGGGCGAGGAGGGGGCACAGGGTGGAGTGAGAACCAAGTGCCAGCAGGAGCACCCCTGCATTCTCTCCAACCAGATCCCCTTTCATTTCTTGCTTTTCCCTTCTCCCCAGTTTTACAGATGGAGACTTTGTTTTAACGGCCTCCCCACCGAAGTAAACTGAATCAGCGAGACCCGTTCCTCTCCGTGAACCATGGAGAATCATGCCAGTGTAGTTTGGGGCTGTGTGTAGTGGGGGTAGGGGTCCCCACCCTCTCTCCTACCCACACGCCAAAGCCGAAGTTAGAGCCCAGGGGGCTTATTTGTCACAGGCAGGTGATGAAGAGGTGTCAAATGTAAATGGGGGGAAGGCACCTTGTACAGGAAGTAGAAAGCCTCAGGAAAGTACCTAAGTTTAAGTTTGTCAACAAGAGTGATATTTGTGTTAACCTCAAACTAGACAGCACAAATCATGAATCTGACTTTGGGCCCCTTGACCTGGGAGGCCAGGGAAAACTCCAGAGGAGGGTGTTTCAGGGCTGAGGTCTGAAGGTAGAAAGGATTTGAGGGAGGGATGTGCAAGACTGGTCCAAAGAAGGAGTGCGTGAGGCATGGCTGTCAGACCCCAGGGAGCCAGTCAGCCCCTAGGGAAGGGCCGGGATGGCCAGGAACCAGTCAGACCAGAGCACCCTCTAGATGAGCACCAGAAGACTAAGACTAGGTTTGGCCTTAGAAAGAACCTCGGTACTTACAGGAGGATGGGGGATGGGTTCCATATTAGGAAGGTCCCAGGTCTGGGTTAGAGTGTGTGTGTGTTGTGCTCTTCTGAGCCTTACCCGGCTCTCTTGATGAGACCGCTCTACAGAACTTTGAGGAGGAAAAGAAACTGGGGGAGAGTGTGGGGTTACTCATAAAAAGGAACAGGCTGTGACCCCGGGATCCCTAGGCTAAAAGGCAGGGTGGGGGAGGCAGAGTACCCCTTCTTTCTTTCAGCTTTCCCCCCGCCCCCCCCCCACTACTGTTTCTTGGTTGCCTGCGTCTTTCATCATATAGTGAGGCTCCTTTTTTAGCTCTAGTACAGGAGTGAGCAACCTTTTTCTCGAAAGGACCACCGAGTGAGTAATTCAAATAGCATACTGCAGATTAACAGGAAAAAAATTTTAATGCGTGTGCAAGGGGAATTCACACAAGCACAAAAACTCCAAAGGCAGAAATTCAAAGTGAGGCAAAAGGAGATATAGCTGTCATTTTTTACTAAGGAGGGGGAGGTAGGTGAGGGGGACCAAAGTTTTGGCACCCCAAGATATGCCTTTTGGGATATTGATTTTAAGCTGGTTTTTAAGAAACAAGACTCCCCAAAACCCTTTGACTTTCCCCCTGCCTAAAAGCCCTTCCGTAATAAATTCTGGACTTTTCTCCTGTTAATCTGCTGTCTCTGTTAACCTAGCTGGAAGGATTTAGAAAAGTGGGTGGAAAATCACTTCCCAGCTCCCACCTAGGCAACTCACAGGTAGATGAGAGAGAGCAAACATTTGGTCAACAAATACTTTGCAGGGCCACCAAGACACAATGGGACACACAGAGGAACCTAGCAAACAGAGTTTTGCTTGGATTCCCCAGCTTGCCACACTTAACTCACAAGTGCTAAGGTGATGATGCTTCCTGATGCAGGCTTTTCTATCTGAATCTCTTTAGATGGATGGGGGGGAGGTAAAAAAAAACTCTTCCTGAGTTTGTTGATTTCTTCAGTTTCACTCCCATAGGCCACCCTTTATCAAAATGCTGTCAAACGGGCCAGTGACCCAGAGCTTCAATGGTGTGCACTGTTGTTTTCAAATGTCTTTCATGACTTTTCAGTATTTTAGGAGAATCCTGGCTCCATTTTCTTTTTCAACCCCAAGTTGCAAGGAATTACAAATCCTTTCATGTGTATTGAGTATTTGGGTCCAAGTAAGTCACAAAAGTAAATACACTTATTCTTTGTTTAAGGTACACTGTCATGCAAACAGACGCCTGTGTATTGCTAATTGAGTCACAGCTTTTTGTCCTAGAACAGTTTGTCAGAGTCCTGCGTTGGGTTAATATGTTCTGTACTTAAAAGCAGTGCAGCTGTGTTTCTTTTAAAAAGAGTCTAAAATCGATGCTTCTGAATTTTTACTCCTTGTTTTTCTTTCATTCACCTGCATGGATGTAGCCTTCCTGGCTTGGGATGGGTCAAGAAAGGTACAGGTGTCTATCCTGGTTCAGACCTGACCCAAAGTTGAAAGTGGGGGGAAGGGGCAAGGAAGCAGGTAACCGGCCACCCCCACTCCCCCCACCTCCCCAGACTTCTCTGTAGTGTGGTTCCTTAAAGCTGAAAAGACACCTCATTTCAAAACACAAACCGAGGGCTGGCTGAGTGGCGCGTTGGTTAAGAGCTGTCTTGGGACGCCAGATGGTCCCGGTTCGGATCCCACATATGAGGGCCAGTGACACTGCCCTCTACAGCTAAGATGCTGAACAAACAGCTCAACCTGGAGCTGGGCTGCGGTGAGTCGCCGGCGACGGCGTAGGCTGCAGCCCCTGCTGCAGTGGGCTACCATGGGCTACTGTGTGTAGCCAGCAGCCAGCGTGAGCGGCCAGCAGCCGCAGTGAGCGGCTGTCCAGAAGCCGGCGACTGATCTGCCTTGCCTGGGAAGAGCGCAATAATGGTGCCAACTTGGACCAGTGAAGCGACGTCCTCTACAACTAGAGTGAAGAACAAAAGGACAGCAACTTGTCTGTTCCCATCCCTCAATTCCCCAATAAAAATCTTAAAAAAAAGAGTAACAGCAAAGGAGACAAGATAGAAAGAAAAAAAAAAACCCACAGAGACCTCATTTCAACACCAACTTCTTCCCCTCTTTCTGTTTCTCTACTGGCCTCATGAGGGATTTCTGAGAAATGAAAAAAGGTCACCTCCCACAGCCTCAATCTAGTTTTGTTTTTTCAAGTGATGCACAGGAGAGGGTTAGTGGAAAAGAGCTGCTTAAGCATACAGTATTAATCCAAAACTTAAAAGAGAAATGCCTTTCCCCTCAGTAGATGTGGGCCCCACCTGGCCTTAGATCTGGGCTTTCAGGATCTAAGGAAATAAACAAGCTCTCCTCCCAGGAAATTTCAGGAACAAGCAGTGAAACCTAACAGCTGCTCCTTGTAGGAGGAGCCCAGCTGTCTCCCTCCCCCCACCCGCCCCAATTGCCACCAAGGTTTGAGGCTCAGAGGCTGCAGGCAATCTCAGGAATAGAGGTGTGAGCTGAGGATGGAAGGCGAGAGAGATCTGAGCACAGAAATTAGGAATAAAATGCATTATAAAAGCGATGGGGAAATCCCCACCCACCCCCAAATCTGAACACCGGAGAGTCATACAAGCCTGGTAGAGGAGCTATGAAATGTGTAGCAATGTTTTCAAAACCAGCTCCTTCTGTGAGACAAGAACATTAACTTCTTTTTTTTTTAAGGGGCACAGAATTGAAAGGTTTCTTAATCCCAATAAAATGGAAAAGTCATTTAATCCAGGATGAAACCCAACAGTTAAACATTCTTTTCCTTGTCTGCGTCCTTGGCTCCCTTTCCCAGCACACCTTGTCCCAGGCTAGCTTGAATAAACATACACGTGACCACGAGGGCGGGAAGAAAACCCAGTGGGGGTGGTGAAATTCTGAATGGAATGCAGCCCCAGCTAGTTAGGGGCTGGAGCTGAGACCTCTGGCACTGGCTGTGGGTTTATACAGGCAGAGAAGCCAAAACAATGAGCTCATGGGCAAGAATGCGGCCTGTGGGGAAGTCTGGGCAGTCGGAGCAAACTGGTTTTTTGAACCAGGATGGGAATAGCTGTAAGAGAGTCTCCCACGGGAACAGGATTAGGGAGAGCGAAGCCACCATTCAGTATCTGAGGGTCCAGCTAAATCACTGGGGTGGGAAGGGGCTGCTCTCAGGCCTCCAACACTTTGTTTCCTTGCCCTGGTAATGAGAACCTGGGTGCGGTCAGAGCATCCCAACAGGTGGGACGTGTGACTAGCCTATGCTACGTGATGCTCTGAAGACGACTTGACTCAAAGCAGGTCTGCCAGTGCCAGCTCCTGTACTCAGGATCCAGCAGTGACTGTTATCCACTGTTATCCTGTGTTCAGGGTCACCATTTTAACATGATATAGAGGAAACGCTCAATGAAGTCTGTCTTCTCTACTTCTTCAAGAAATGCAGTGCACCCGGCTGTGTGATTTACACCTGCCAGACCTCTAAGACCCAAGAGATCTTTTTTTTTCCTACCAGCGTTTTCCAGTTATTTTTATGGAAGGCCCCCAATGGCAGAAACTGAAGAGATGTTCTCTGCACTGGCCGCGTGCGGTGCAGGGGAAGAAGGCAGGGAAGACAGATGAAATGATAGACAAAAGTGATCTGCAAACCTTCCCCTCCCCCGCAGAGGCTCTTTCCCAACTCGGCGCTTTCCGTTCGTGTGGTTTGTGCTCATTCTTTAAGATCCAATCTCAGATGTTTCTTTTGAAGCCTTCTGGACCACCTTGGGCTTCCAGAAGTTGTCGCTCTGCTTGCCCCGCCCCTTTACTATGGGGCTCTGTGCACTATATCCTAATTGTCTTTGTCCGTGGTTATCACGCCTAGACCGCAAGCCTTAACATTTTGCCACAATTGCATTCTAAAGGTTCACTATGCATAAACCCTTCAGGATGTAACTCCCAAGAACAAGAACGTTCTCTCACCTGACAGTAAAATCAACACCCTCCGGAAATTGAACATTGATCCAGTGCTAATGATAAGATTTCCCCCATTGACTCCATGTCCTCTATAGCTTTTTTATCATCCAGGACCCAATGAAAGAGCACCCTGCACTTAGTTGTCATGTTTCGTAACAGCTGATCCCTATTCTTTTTTGACCGAGTTTTTTGAGGGGAAGAATTCTCTCTGTAATTCCAGCACCCAACAGTGCATGGTACAAGTCAGCCACTGCCACGCAATGAAGACTGCAAACACCTGGCTGCTGAGAGCTCTCACTCCGAGTCCCAGTGCACCGCCGTGTTGGAAAATTCTTAATAAACTAAGGGAATCCCTGAGCAGGAGATGAGAGCAGGCAAAGGGAGTGATAAGAAACCAAAGGCAGAAACCAAGCATGGAAATGGATACTTGGAAGGGGTAAAACTCCAGAATATTCCTGGCCCTAACACACTTCCCAACAGGAACTACTAGGTTGTTGGAAAAGTCATGACGCATTTTTGCAACGAACAACAGAGAAAAAATACGTCATGACTTTTCCGACAACCAAATATGTATTAGGAACTGTAAGAGAAAGCAGGGGAACAAAAGCCTGCCGCTTGTATTCTTTTTTTTAACCCCACAAAAATCATTAGTCAAGAACACTGAATTCTTGAGAGGTCTGTTCCGGCTGCCTGGAGGCAGGTTCCCAACCCCCATCTTTCCACATGCTTCACATAACTGACATAACATGTATCAACCTTAAAACAAAAGAAGAGAGACCAAGTTTTCCAATCTTGAAACTGAGAAGCCTTGGAACGGCGTGGGTGTGTGTGTGTGTAGGGGTGGTTTCCAGGAGACGAAGTTCCGCTGTCCTTGAAGAAGCGGAGGCAGAACGAACTGGGATCAATGACCAGACCCGGCTGATCATTTCCAACCCCAGGAATTAATGGCCGGTACTCTGGGAGTCTGGCTGGAGCTGCGCTACACACCAGTTGTACACGTTATTTCACTTTAATTTTTGTAAAGTCCTCCAGCTGTCACACTTGCTTTAAATAAAATTTTCTGAAATAGGGTGAAGCAAGAGCTGACTCTAAAGCCGCAAAACAGGAACTGAAAGAAAGTCTGGTTGTGTCAAATGAAGAAGTGTTATTTTGACTCCCCCAGTGACTCATATACTACCTGCTTACCCGAGTTTGATGTCTCCCACTAAAGAGTATTGTCACAGAAATGGCTTCACGACAGATCAGTGAGAGCAACGGTACTGCTCAGAACAACTTGGGCCAGGATTTGGGAGTCCTGGGACCCTGCCCTGCACCCCTCTGCTTGGAAGTGCACTTCTCTTCCTGGCGTTCTCTTTAATGATAACAAGTTGTCTTCTGGTAGTTCTGGGGAAACCCTGTTTGCATGATTAGCATGTGGTGCTCAGGGTTTAAAAGTAATATGCAAAACTCTTATTTGCACGTTTCCATGGTGACCCTAACTCCAAGTAGCAGAAAAAAACAGGATAGGGTTTCTGAAATTGATGTGCTTCCTCTCACCTTCTTTTTGGCAGAGGAAAGGGGAAAAGTACTGAAACGGTACCAAGAACCTCATCAAAATTCGACTTTGGAATTGAATTCTTCTGGCTCTATCTCAAAAAGCTGAGTGAGATGGGGAGAGAGAATATACAGGAACTAGCCTGAAGTACAGCAGTAATACGTTTAATTAAAAACCCAAGACCTCTCATGTGAATGAAAGGAATTCTTCTGAAAGAAACGTCCCTGATCTACGGAAAATCAGCTACATGGGGCCGCTTTTGCTCGGTAATCCGCCTATACTTGTTTGCTCAGCTGACTGACTTCCCTATAAGGCTTACCTATGAGGGGGAGGAAGACAGGCACCGATTAGAAAACACCCATACCACACCTTGCATTTGAAAAAAAAAAAAATTTATTATTTTCTTCTCAGGAAAAACAGGAAGTTAGGAAAACACACATTACAGCCCATATTAATTTGCAGTTGGTCCTAACCCTTCCTGGCACAGCCGTCAACAGTATTATAGCTGTTGAACCACCACCAAGGTGTTCACCCCCATAGAATGTACATGGACACTAGGACTGCAGAATTTTCCCTGAGAGAAGCTGAAGGCAGAGAAGTTGCTGAGAGGGGTCTTTCCACGAAGCCCCTCCCTCCCCTTTGCACTGGGAGACCTGCCGGAAGTCCGCAGCTAGTCAGCACTTAGAATGCTTTGCTTCCTCTCCCTACAAAACCGCCCACCCTTTCCCCGAAGCACTTGGGCTTCCTAAGCCCTCAACAGCCCCCAAACCCAAATACCAACTAGATCCTCATCATTTCAGCAGTCACACCTAGTCAATAGGGAACTGGGCCCCTAAGCCCCACCGATTTATCTCTGCGCTTATTTCCACAACTGGATTTGGGGAGACAGGCCTTTTTAGTCGCCTTAACCAGATATTAAGATTAATTAAAAACTACATAAAGTGCTTTTAGGTCCTTAAGAGGCAGATGTGATATAAATAAGTGGTTTATGACCAAGAACGATAAATACATAGGTAAAAATAGTTCTAGCTAGATGACCTTATGGCTCTGAGATGGGCAGGCAGGGCATTCTTCCCTATTACATTCTTAGTCATTTATGTCTATTTTTATCTGGAGTCCACAGACTAAATACAAGGTCAGGATTTGAGGTTGAAGCTTTGAAATAACCCTAATTCCATCACTGAAGCTTTCTTCAGTTTAACCAGTAGCTTTTTTGTTGTTGTTGTTTTTATAGCTCTCTGAGGTGTAACAGAGCCCACCTAGTTCTATCATTTTAAGTGACCATATTCAAATTCAAAGGAACCTAGAGAAAGTCACTTAAGATACTGTCCCCTCCTCTGGAAATTCCTAAGGGGCCTTTTGAAACCTTCCCCCCCAAAAAGGTACCAGTTTGAAGAAAAGGGACTCCTCCCACCTCATGACTGCTATTGTCACAGAACACAGAGTAAGACTCCTCCCAAGGATAAAATTCATGAAGAAGGAAGGTCTGTGGACTCCTACAGGGAGGGTTACTTAGGTTCCTAGTGCCAAAAATTAAATGGGCTCTAGTTCAGGGTGGCCTAAAGACATACGAACTGCTCTAAATATCTGTAGAGGGAGGTGAACAAGCAGCAAATATCTCAAGGAAGGATCGGAAACAAATGTTAAGTTCAACAGAGTATCTAGTCTGAAATCGGAAGAGATGCCAATGCAAAAATGTGAAACAGAGTTTAGGAATCAGAGATTGGGGATCATTAACAAATGAAAACAAGTATTTTTGATATACTAGGCTTAGACCTGGGTATAACAAGCCAGCCTAAAATAGCACCATCATTAGACTACAGCCTTTCTTTCTCAAGCCATTATTTTACAACTATTAAGCAAACAATGGGTCAAATGTCTCTCATTCAACTGATGTGATCTTTTCATACACTGCTTTGCTAATAATTCCCATCTGGAACAGCTGAGTCTTTTAAAAAGCTTTGCAGATGAGCTTGTGAACACAAATTTCACCATTTAAGTTACGCCAAAGGGAAGGAACGCAACGTAGTTGCCCAAAGCCCATTATGCGTACACATCATTGGCCTGCCCCCCAAAATCCCTTGCTTCGATTATTGAAAACCTACATGTAAGCCAAGTGAAAGGATTAATTGCCATTCCTCAATTTCTTTCTCAGTCCCCCCACACCAAAAAAAAACCAAACCCAAAACCCTATCTAAGGAATACTTACCAAAATCAGATAGGAAAATTAAAGACTGCATAGTTATGACTCAGAATTGTTTCACAACCAGGGCTGCACACATCAATTGGCTGTATACAATCTAGAATTATCAGAACAAAGTTTAGAATAGAAAAGCTGGTAAGAAACAGATTCCTAACTACAGAAGTTGTAAATCTAAAAAGGATATGAAAAAAAATAATGAAAATTTGAGAATCTCTTCCTTTTATATTTCAAAGAAATAGACTTTCTGTAAAAATATATACAATTTTTACAGACAAATATATTTACAAGTTGTATCTTAAAAATTGAAAACATTCCATATTTTAACTGTCATCGTTGAGCCTTAAGTCAAGTACTTTTGGCCTTACTTGGCTAACAAGCTTCAAATCATTCAATCCAAGCCCAAGTTGAACAGGTACCAAAGTCCTGAGCACTTGGGCTTTTTAGTCTTCAAGAAGCATACCTGGGAAAGCTTAAGGAAAAAAGCTTCCCTTTACACTCTGTTGTACAGTACTGAGGCTTTTAGTCCGAGTTCTATTGTAGCTTAAATCCACTTTGCAGAGTCGCTGGCAATGTTAGTGCTTCCTCTTTAACACTACAGGGACTTAACGAATTCAGTAGGCATATTTAACGAACTCTATGACTAGCCTGGCTACTGGCCACTCTTCCTGTTCTAGACAAGGACATCAAGTCTTTCCACCCTACCGTCTTCACTAAATCTAAAGGTCCTCCTCCATGGCCTCCCAAAGTTTGCTGACTTGGCTTCTTTCAGTGACTCTTCAAGTGGGGGCTCCTTTCCCATGTATTTATTCCTGAGCTATAATCCTCGCGCCACTTGCTGTTCTACGTTGCTTGGAGGTTACAGCCTGGACAGCTTAAAGTCCAACGTCATAAACACACTGTTGTCACCGCAGATGTATGAGGGTTTGGTGCCTGGAGTTGAACAGTCAATTATTTCGCTTAAAAGGCTATCTTATTAGATATGCCAACCCAGCTCCAACTCCGGCAACACCTGCAAAAGCCAGCAGCACATTTCTGATGCCGCCTTCTAGGTCCTCTACGTGGAAGAACTCCACAAACCCATCCTAGAAAACAAAAAAGAAAAGCACATTTTTCAAGTACGGGATTTCCACTGACTTACACGTTACAGAGAAAAGGTAATTAAAACATCCTAAGCAAGCCCTCCCACCCAACACAAGGATAAACCAATCAATTATTTACCCTGGGCTGCAGGAGACACTTATTCACTTAAAGTGGGGGGATGAGAGGGGGCTCAGGAATGTAGCTTACTATCATTTCCAGGTGATTCCTACGGCTTCATAATTTGAATGCAGTGGTGGGAAGAGTATCCAGCTTAATTACAATACAATACCAAAGCCAAAAGACTCAACAACCAGCACAATAACCTACAGGAAGCCAGGATTTTTGATGCAACAATTCAAGACAGTCATACCACTATCTCTATGGATTCACTTCTTAATCAACATCAAGCAACCAAGACCTGAAAACTTGAGTTGTGATTCATAAAGACCTTTAGCTACTACCCCCACTTTCTCCATAAAAATCCTCCGTTCCAGTTCTACTCCAGGGCCCCACTTGAACCTTAAAACAAACTTACCCAGCCTCTTTGTTTGACTAGCCAGTCTCGTTTTGTCCTTACGAGAACATCTGTGATGCTTTCTGCTAATGGTTCGATGCAGCTTTCTTGGTTTATACTCTTCAAGTGTTTGGCCACAAAGGCACCAAAAGAAATAAGAGTCACAATCCTGCCCCAGTTTGTTACTCCGTCACTAAAAACATGAACCATGACTCGAGACAAAGATTTGACGTCGTCTTCGTTTTTGATGTCCAGTTTCCGAAGCATGCCTGGGAGGGAGAAAAGCATGCGGGTTCTCACGGCCTTTGTCTAAACCAGCGCTCGATTCGCCTGCCCACCCACGGCGGGGGAAATCGCTACGTGCGCTCCATACAACTCAGGCCGACCCCACTTGAAAACTGACATCCCACCCTTTCCGGGCTTTGAACAGAGCCGCTATTTCCAAAAGAATCGAGTGGGCGGAAACAATGAGTCATGGCCAGAGTATTCTGGTTTCAGAAAGAGGATGAGAGTCGTTTCAACACCGACTCGTTTCGGTTTCCACCCACCGCGCGTCCGGGCAGCCTTGGACAAAAGGCCGTACACGGCCCCCGTGACTACCCCCCTTACCTTGGAAAGCCGTCTCGTGGTTGCGCTGCACACCGTCCCCAACCCGCCGAAGGGTCTCTAACGCCTTCCGGCTGGCGGGCGCGGACAGGCCCATTGGCTTCGCGTCCTTGGCGCCGGTCGCCTGCTCCCGAAGGTACCGAGAGATAATCTCCAGGGACTGCCGGTACAAGTCGTCGTCCTCCTCCTCCTCTGCTGGGGGCGGCGTAGAGGGCAGTGAGCCGCCCGTCCCGGGGCCATTACTGGCCTCCCCGACCAGGTCTAGCAAGGGCAGGACAGCCGGCCGCTTCCCGAGAGGCTCCGGCTCGTACCCGTCCAGCTCCTCTTCGGGCGACATGATGGCGTCGGCCGCCGGGGCTTCCATCTCTTTAGGCGGCGACGCACAGAAGGCGGGCGCGAAGAACAGCCTTGCGGGGGTCGCGGTGACGTCGGGGCCCTCGGCGCCAATGGGCGAAGGCCGCGCGACCCTCCGGGCGTCCGGCGCGAGAGTGGTCGGGGGGCTCGCGCCGGCGCTTCCGCCAATCACCGCACCGGCTTCCCCTCCCCCTGCCTCTCGCCGGGCGGTGGCCTCCTTCCCGGCGGCCAGAAGGCGCTCTCCCGAAGGGGAGGCGCTGCCGCCGCCGCCGGCCGCCAACCCGCCGCCCCCACAGTAGAGGTTGAGGCCGATTACTGCGTTTCTTTTGAGGCCAAACATATCCAGCAGCATCGGCCGTCGCCCAGCAGCACGGAAAAATGGGGGACGCAGCAATCCCTCGCTCGAGTGCAGCGGAAGTGCCCAGTGAGAGAGGCGCTGCTAGTCCACGGCTTTAGATCGTGCGCGGTGGCGTCAACTCAAAAAAAAACAAATGTCTCTTCCATAAAAGGAGAAAGGGGCGGAAGCTGCCGGCCAGCCGCGCACCGCACCTAACCGGCTGGCCGCGAGGGGGCGGGGCCGGGCCGGGGCGGGGCCTTCCGGCTCGCGGTGCCCCTCCCGACGGGTTACGTAACGGCGGCTCC